AGCTGCTCGCGGTCACAAAGGCGGCACGAGAGCTGCAGGTGTTGTTTTAATTCACAGCCTCATTCACGGACACCCCCTCCGCCCCCCCCCGGGACTGTTTAGCGAGAGTTAGAGGGCACTGGGGAGAGATGGGGAGAGTGGAGGGAGGTTGGGGAGACTGGGGTGAGATAGATTGTTAACAATGTAGTGCACACACACGGGCAGACGCAGACGGACACAGACTGTTGGGGCAAGCGCTGGAAGCGAGCACCTACGAAGGCTGACACGACACACGAGGGGGGTAAGTGGTCAGCACCACGGCCAGCCGCCTTTGTATCCCTAGTGTAGATGTTTACACACTGCACGAGGCACTTGAGGCTCAATCGAGGTAGAGGATGCCCAGGATTGGTTCGGATAATCGTGACTTGGTCGTGGGAGGGAATCGAACTCGGGTTGCAGGGTGCGTGGCGACCCGTAACACACAGATTTATATTCACGTACAGACACAGTCGCCTACAGAGACACAGTTGCAGACATCGACACAGAGTCACATAACACACGCAGACACAACCATACACACACACTCAAGTTAACACACAGACGTACATTCACTTAACATACATACAGACATGAACACACGGAACACGCACACACACGGAAATCAGGCACCATCTGCCGACGTCCGCAGTGGAGAGATTCAAGGTTTGGAATTTGGGATGAGGGGGAGGAGCAGGAGGAGACACAGGGAAGAGGAGGACACGGAGGAGGAGTCGCGGTGGCTAGAGGATGTTAACTACCTCGCCTGGTATACAGGAGGTCATAGGTTCGATTCCGAACCTGACGCCTGCTGTATATTTGGAGTTTGCGTGTCTCTCTCTTAGTAGTCGCGTGTTTTTTTTTCGGGTCCTCCGGTATTTTCCTCCACATTTAGAATCAACATCACGCGTTTAGAGTATTCGGCTGCTCTACATTTCCACTTGATAAGCCACGTCGTTGAGCTATCATTTGCGATAGCCAGATCGCTTCAGAAAAATATCTTTACAACTCAGTGGGCCTTACCTGGTAAAATAAAAAAGAGTTGAGTGGAGGAGGACGATGAGACGCGGGGAGAGATGTTCAGATTTTCGGTGAGCGCCCTCTTGTGATTGTGCGGAGACCCTTCACTCAGACGCCTTCAGATCTCCCGGTAAACATCACCCGTGTAAATTAAAATTGTATTGACGGTAACAACAACAACAAAACACACACCTATCAGCCTCGGGGTCTTCTAGACCAATGTCTCCCGGCAGCATTTGTCGAAGCGCGCGCAGTCTGAAGCGGTCTCGAATCCCCGGGTTTCATCAGCAAGGTATAGCCACTGCCAAACGATTCAGAGATCTCACCATGTACTGACGCTCCATCTACAATGCAGTATACAATACCACCAGGTTTATAGAGCTTCGCAGGGCAGATGTTCACTCGCCACTGATGCTAGCCGTGATCGGCGAATCGGAACTCTAGCTCGGATCGACGGGGTTAATTTTGAGTAATACGCTAACCACTGCGCCACCGCTCCCCCCCCCACCCACCCCCCCTATCCACGTTGCGAGTTAGAAATGCAATGAATAGAGCTCATCAATATGTTATTATATGGCGAGGTCAATCGTGAAAGTCGCGCTGCAGTGATGTGGGCCGTGGTAATGAACTACAACTGGCCCGTTATTGACGCGGGTTCGTCGTGAGCATCACAAAAGGGGATTCATTGCGGAGTTTCGTGTAATGACAAACAGTAATTTGTGGTGCACTACCAAATACCCGCACAGCGTGGGGAGGCCCTCATCCAGCAGCGGAGTGGCAGAGTGTTTGGGTGGGTGGGTGAATGCATGCATGAGTGGGTGGGTGAGTGAGTGGATGAGTGAGCGAACGGGTGAGTGGGTGAGTCGGTGAGCGCGTGAGTGGGCGAGCGAGTGGGTGAGTGAGTTGGTGAGTGAGTGGGTGAGTGAGTGTATGTTGAACTTCTTTCGCACCCGAGGTAGCAAACCGTGCTAATCGGAGGTGCGAGGGGGAGTGGGTGTAGGTTGCGGAGTGAACCGGTGAATTATTGAGTGGGTGAGTGAGTGAGTGGGTGAGAGAGTGGGTGGGTGAGTGGGTGAGTGAGTGAGTGGGTGAGTGAGTGGGTGAGTGAGTGAGTTGGGTGAGTGAGTTGGGTGAGTGAGTTGGGTGAGTGGGTGAATGAGTGGGTGAATGAGTGGGTGAGTGAATGAGTGAGTGAGTGGGTGAGTGAGTGGGTGAGTGGGTGAGTTGGGTGAGTGAGTGGGTGAGTGAGTGGGTGAGTTAGGTGAGTGAGTGGGTGAGTGAGTGGGTGGAGTGAGTGGGTGAGTGAGTGGGTGAGTGAGTTGGGCGAGTGGGTGAATGAGTGGGTGAGTGAATGAGTTGGGTGAGTGAGTTGGGTGAGTGAGTGAGTTGGGTGAGTGAGTTGGGTGAGTGATTGAGTGAGTTGGTGAGTGAGTTGGGTGAGTGAGTTGGTGAGTGAGTGAGTTGGGTGAGTGAGTTGGGTGAGTGATTGAGTGAGTTGGTGAGTGAGTTGGGTGAGTGAGTTGGTGAGTGAGTTGGGTGAGTGAGTTGAGTGAGTGAGTTGAGTGAGTGAGTTGGGTGAGTGAGTTGGGTGAGTGATTGAGTGAGTTGGTGAGTGAGTTGGGTGAGTGAGTTGGGTGAGTGAGTTGGGTGAGTGAGTTGGGTGAGTGAGTTGGTGAGTTGGGTGAGGGAGTGAGTTGGGTGAGTGATTAAGTGAGTTGGTGAGTGATTAAGTGAGTTGGTGAGTGAGTGGGTGAGTTGGGTGAGTGAGTTGGGTGAGTGAGTTGGTGAGTGAGTTGCTGAGTGAGGTGGTGAGTGAGTGGGTGAGTGGGTAATTGCGTTGGTGAGTGGGTAATTGAGTGAGTGGGTGAGTGGGTCGGTGAGTAAGTGTAGCACAGACTTTGAGGACGGCCCGCACTGCTATAACAAGCAAGCCCCGACATCATGTTGGTGTATCTGCAACTTAATTTGAATACGAATGGTTTGTTAAAATGTGTCCTAGCCAACTTCTTTTTCGACGGGAAATCTATTTCACTCAATATCGATTCTCTTTTTTGTTCCTTTCTGTAACGCGGTTGTTTTGGTTGATTCTGCTCGCCAAGATGTCTATCTGCTCCGTTGCTGCGAGCCGGTTGCAATGTCGCAGACATTCCCTTTCGTCGCGTTCGCCGAACACAGCGACGGTCGCGAATTAGTCACGAGGAGTTCCAGCAGAAACCGGCACCGCCTCGAAGGTGGCGAAAGGGGCCGTTCATAAATGACGTCACGCACCTAGGAGGAGGGGGGGGGGTCAGATATTTGTGACGATGTGTGACGAGGGGGGGGGGGGGTTGAGAAATGTGACGTCACATAAAAATGCGCAACTTTAATTTAAATATTGACAACACGTTCAAAGTAATTAGATAGACTTTTTAATAAGTGTTTTCTCCCACAACATCGGAGTGCAGCGCCACATTAAATACGCACTACAATGACAATAGTTTAAAGCGATTTGAAGCATGTTTTATTTTCAAAATGGAATTTTTTTTGGGGGGGGGGGCAGAGCTTTCTGACGTCATATTTGAGGGGGGGTCTGACTTTTTGTGACGCCGTGTGACGAGGGGGGGGGGGGTCAAAAATTGTCCAAAATCGCGTGACGTCATTTATGGACGACCTCAAACTCGAGCCGATCGCTTTAGACGGCCGATGAGAGTGAATGTCCTGATAACGCCGCTCATTTCACGTGGCGATCGTCACGTCATTCCGTGTTATTGATCGCATGAAGGAATTGTAACCGCGAGATTGATGCCACCTCGTGTGGTTACCCGCACGCGAACTGTCTGGGCTCATGGACCAAATGAGAGCCATCGTTTTTCCGATATCATGGAAGCCGCTGGGAGCTATGCACTTTTAAATCTGGATTGGAAACTAATTTCTTTAGAACTTATTTTTGTGTGTTTAGTGTTGTTGTCCTTCCCCCGCACCTCGGATGAGCGCGGTCGGCTACGTGCGGTGCGAAAGAAGTTAATCGTCTCTCGAGATTCCTCCTCCTCCTCCTCCCCCGGTTGAACAAGAGAGGGCAGCAGAGCACCGCACTGAGCAGCGAGTCACGACCCGGAGTGATTTCGAATCAAGTGCCGGCTTTTAGCATTGGCAATAACTTTCCCTGCGTTGTATATTGGTCCTCCTCGTTTGACGGCTCATTTTGACGTGCAAGCAAGCGCCACGCGTTGTCCAAAATTGTTAACCTAACAATTGCCACAAAGGCGCGCGCGCGCGGTGACGTCACAAGCGCGTGCGTGCGCGGTGACGTCACGCGCACGGCTCTCACGCCGACGTCGCCCAAATTCGCGTACACGATGACGTCGCTGGCGGGTTTGCAGGCCGTTACGTGCGGGGGGTGGGACGTCACGTGACGATAAATACACTGCGGGCGTTTCACGAGATCATCGACGATTGGTGATTCCGCACGCCTTGCAATGTCTTTGGCGCTCGGAAAACGTTCAGCCACGATTAATCATTGTAAAGGCAAATAACAATGCAGTACTAGTTTGATTAATAGATTCGTTGTAACGGAAAAGCGCGGGGATTTTCGTCGAATCGTTACGCCCTTACTTGAGTTTCGGGGTGGTGACGTCACAATAGGCCACGGTCTTTGTTTATCTTTGTGATGACGTATGGGTTGATATTACGGATTAATCGTCATCACGCAATCGGATTACGTTTACCTGAGGACGTCATCGCGCCGATGATGTCACCGCGCAGCGCCCAGTAACGTACTGTATTCCCAGACCTATGAACGTAATAACGTAACTGGCGCGCCATTAGAGAGCGTATCCTGCGTGATGACATCATCACGCAAACATGTAATTTTTTATGTGAGTGCGCGCGCGTAATGATGTGACTGCAGAGACGGCGACGATGACGTTGTGCAATGACGTCGGGCGGAGCACAGAGCGTGGGCGCGTCACAGGCTACGTGCGAACGTTCTGACGTACGAGTCCTGTGACGTCATAACGCATCCGTCACGACGGGCGGAGTCTCGATGAGCGGGGGTCTTCGCTGCCAGCGGCTCCGTTATTTCAGCGTCAAACAACAACAACGACAACAACAACAAGAAACAACAACATAATCAAGAACAACAACGATAGCAACGCACCCTGCTGCTGGCCGGGCCGGCGTGAACATGAGCTGGGGTGTGGATCTCTGGGTGAGTTTTGGTGAGGGGGGTCGGGTGTGGATGATTACAGGCCGGGCCTCGAGCTGTCAAGAGTGGCTGTGAGATCAGGCAAGGCCGTAGGGTGAGGCCTAGCTAGGTGAAAAAATATATATATTTATTTTACAAAAATGTTGCATACCGTGTAAAAAAAAAATGCAATTATTAGGTGCTAGGTGGATTATCATTTCACAGGATCGTGAAGAGTTGACGCCGCGTCTTGGGGATGCCTTCATCGAGCAGTGGATTGACCATGACTCGTGATGATGATAACGGTATAGAGCAGTAACGGTGGTGGAACAAGGCTAACGCGTTAACAATGGCACGTTGCGTCATATTGAATACTCTATTGTACATTTGTGTATACGCTACTGCTGTTACTATGTCAGTCTGGCTCCCGCCCTGTGTGAAAGGGGTCATTTTCAGCTGACTGATACGTCTGGTTTGAGACGCGTTATCGATATGCGCAACATTGTATTTGTATACTTTATCCAGCAGTGGATCGATCGTGGCCGATGATAATCAGTAACGGGCTTCGCTGTCTTTATATTGACTTTAATGGCACACACGGCGGCGGACGGCGAACTACTCGGTTTACTGATTTATGAGCATCCTATATGTACTTTGAGCAAGATATAACTTTAGGCAGACCCAGCTTTGATGAGTGACATTCCATTAACAATAACAAAAATATATGTATGGGATTCCTCCAGTCAAAATAGAGATTCAGATTCTGATATTAAATGTAGGTAGTCTTGTTAGAACATCATAATCTCACATGATTCAAACCCAGTAACTATCGTCCGTCTCGGTATTCAATGTTAAAGTTACCGTATTGTATTACTCTGTATGCAGTGCGTAATGTTTGTGTACAAAGCCCTCCGCGACCTTTTGAACTAATGTGTATCTTTATTAAATACTCTCATTATTTCAAGGGTTTGTTTATGTGCAGATTATTGTGTGTAGTGAGTGGATAAGAGAGTGTCAGCTTTCTGTGTTGTAACGTACAAATTGGATCACGGACGCTGCAAAATCGTGTAGTTCTAAAAAAGATGTCGTTAGGAAGAAGTATTGCTGTGCTTCCTTTGTCAGTGGAGTTTTCCACGTTCGTGTAAAGTCTGCAATAAATCGCAAGCGGCGACGAAAGGGGAAAGCGAATGATTTGTTACGTACAATAGTGATTCCGTAGCATCTAACAGCAGCTTGTGTTGGAGAATGAACTCACAGACAGCCAGATCGCACGAGGGCACAAGGCAAACAATCGAGTGTGTTTAACATGCAGCCCTTCCTTAATCCACTGCTAGATAGATAAGCCCCCCAGTCCCCCCGTGGGAATTTTTTTGGACCATACTTGGTGAGGGAGGAGGTGGAACAGGCCCGGTTCAGATATCACTTGTCACTGATGCTTGCCGTGGCGAAGGATCAAACTCCGGATGTCAGGTTGGTCCATAAGCACAGTTGCGATAGCGCGCCACTGCATCACCCACTCAAACGTATTTAACACCCCCCCCCCAAAAAAAAACTAAAGTAGCATAACATTGTAGTCCATCAGCCCGAGAAGGGCTTATTTCACCAACGTTTTCCAAACAATGTTTTCAAGTTGAAACGACCAAATCCTGGAGCCCTTTTCAGTTTCCTTGCATGTCATCAGCAGGGTGTGGCCCATCAAACAATCGCTGCTGGTTCGCCAAGAGGTTTATAGCGAAGAGCCCTCCAGGAGCACCCAGATTCGCGTTTGATGTTCAAAGCCAGCGGGCGTCCGAAGTTTTTGCAAGGAGAGTCTCGGGTGTTTATTTTTTTGCAAAAAAAAAAGTGGGATTTTGTCCTTGGTTTAAATATGTTCTGGGGTTCACGACTCCACTTATGTTTCGGGCAAAGGACGGGGCTGCCTGAGTAGTGGGGGGGGGGGGGGCTGTCTGAGTAGTGGGGGGCTACCTGAGTAGTGGGGGGCTACCTGAATAGTGGGGGGCTCCCTGAGTAGTGGGGGGGGCTACCTGAGTAGTGGGGGGCTACCTAAGTAGTGGAGGGGGGGCACTTCAGTAGTGGGGGGGGGCTACCTGAGTAGGGGGGGGGGGGGCTACCTGAGTAGTGGGGGGGGGGGGCTACCTGAGTAGTGTGGGGGCTACCTGAGTAGTGGAGGGGGGGCTACCTGAGTAGTGGGGGGCTACCTGAGTAGCGGAGGGGGGGCTACCTGAGTATTGGAGGGGAGGGGCACTTGAGTAGTGGGGGGAGGCTACCTGAGTAGTAGAGGGGGGGGGCTACCTGAGTAGTGGGGGGCTACCTGAGTATTGGAGGAGGGGGCTACCTGAGTATTGGATGGGGGGGGGAGCTACCTGAGTAGTGGGGGGGGCTACCTGAGTAGTGTAGGGGGGCTACCTGAGTAGTGGGGGGGCTATCTGAGTAGTGGGGGGGGGGCTACCTGAGTATTGGGGGGGGCTACCTGAGTAGTGGGGGGGGGTACCTGAGTAGTGTAGGGGGGTACCTGAGTAGTGGGGGGGGGCTACCTGAGTAGTGGGGGGGGGGTTAGGAGGGGCGGAGGTGGGGGAGTCTGAGCATTAGGAGAGGAGCAATGACCAGAGGCGCTCAATGTATGGGCGGTGGTAGTGACTGAGTGGGAGTGGCTGTGTGAAAGTGGGCGGGGCTGACGGGAGGGGAGGAGCTGCCAGCTCCCCACGTGACCGGCTGTCTCCCAGAATGTTCGCAGCTTTATTAATGTTGAGCCACAGTGGCCCTTGTGAGTCAAACGAATGAGCCACAGCCATGAGAGGGGATTTCCTACGTCGGTTGACTCGTGCGATATTCCACGTTGGTGGAGCAGAGAAATTGGCTTGTGTGGCAGGTGCTTGGTAGATTGTTGCATTGCAGGACCACGAGAGATGGCTTTGAAGAGATTGTGGCTGCTGATGATAGTGATCCTTGGAAACGGGAAGTTGTGCCATGTTAATCCCCCAGAGTGCCACTTTAGGCTGGCAGTGGCAGTGTATATTTGGCAACTGTCGCCTGCATACATACACTACGATCGGATGGCTCGGTGTATGACTGTATACAAGTGTATGAATGAGTATATGTGTGTGTGTGTATGCATGCAGGCACGTGTATGCATGCAGGCACGTGTATGCATGCAGGCACGTGTATGCATGCAGGCACGTGTATGCATGCAGGCACGCGTATGCATGCAGGCACGCGTATGCATGCAGGCACGTGTATGTATGCAGGCATTTGTGGGGAGTGGTGGCGCAGCAGTGAGCGCGCTGCGCTACGAACCCAGCCACCCGAGTTCGATTCTCGGTCACAGCTAACACCGGTGACGATTATGTGAACCGGTCCTGGGCCTCCTCTAAGTCGACTCAGCCTCAAATGAGCACCTCGTGTGGTGTGCAAACATCACCATTTGGGGAGACAAAGGCGGTCGGGCGTGGTGTTGGCCACTCATCCCGTTTTGTACGTTGCCGGACTCCATAGGCGCTACTCGCTATCAGCACTTGCCCCGATATTATGTGAAAGGCAATACGGGGGATCTTTGTCTTTGCAGGAATGTGTGGGAGAGAGATGGGCGTGGGGGAGGGTGCTGATCACCCTCCCCCACCCCCATCCTCGTGTGCCATGCCAGCCCTCATAGGTGCTCGCCAACAGATGCTATGTTCTGGTGACTAAATGTATGTGAGTGTAGGTGTACGAGTTTGTGTGCATCTGTGTGTGAGTGAGTAAGGGCGTGGCTCTGACCACACCAACCCCCCTTTGTGTGCCAATCCGGCCTTAATGCACTGGTCCCGATGGTCTGCAAAGACTAATGGGAGTCTGTGTGCCTGTATTTTAGTGAGTGATTGAGTGTTATTGTTGTGGACGCGTCTATCCGTGTTTGTATATACAATACGTGAATGTACGTATGTTTTTTGTGTGTGCGAAATCTTGACTTAAAGCTTTCGTGACTGCAGGAATTCATATTATTTGGGTCTTTCGGTAAAGCCACGTAGATCGGTTCAAAAATAATAAAAACAAAAAACTTCAACGTTTCGATCGCAACACAAGCGACCGTCCTGAAGGGTATATGTTTTGTCCAGTAAAATACAACGCGGATTTATATAGCATTGAGATGCGACCGCATCTCGGTTCGCTGTACAAAAAAAAAACAGTGGGCGAATTCAATGGAAATAGAGCAGCGGCCAGTCACGGTGAATGATTCAAGGGGAAGTTCTTCATCTTCGACTGCAACGTGGGCAGGGAGTCAGTCGAAAGCGCACAGACGGCTGGGGGAAGTGAGTTTAAGATTGGGGTAGCATTGGAGAATGAGCGATCGCCCCCACTGTGTGTGTTCATGAACGGTTTGTGAGCGTGTCGCGTGCTGTGTCTGTGTTTAATGTGTTGGTTAAGATTGGGGCTTGTTCGTGAGTGTCTGTGAGTGTCTATACGTTTGTTTGGCGTAGTATTAGAACACCCGAGTGTGTCTGTAGGAGAGTTTGCATATGTGTTTCTGGATTAGTGTTAGGGTGTGTGCGAGTTGCGCCTGAGAGTCTACATATGTTATTGTCAAAGGTGGCACATTTTAATCGGTCCTAGGTCAACTCAGCCTTAAGCGAGTACCCGCTTGCGATGTGTAAACATCATCATTGGGAAGACAAAGGTGGTCAGACGTGGTTAATGGTCACCCACCACCTCCTGTGCTATTCCGGTCGTCATAGGTGCTCGTATGCATTTTGCACTTCTTTCGCACCGTACGTAAGCCAACCGCGCTAACCTGGAGGTGCGGGGCCAAGGACAATATCGACGCAAAAAAAGCTTCTTCTGAAGAAATGAGTTTTCAATCTAGATTCAAACGTGCTCGATAACAGCCCTTGTCCTATGTAATTGTGCGCGCGTGTGTGTGCGAGTGTGAGCTCGGGTTATGGTGACTCTGAGTGTGTGTCTGTGAGTTAGTAGTGTTGAGCGCGTGTGAGTGGCCCGACCGCGAAAGCGCATTCACAGCTCGAGACGAGAGATAAGAGGGTGTGTCTGGA